CAGGACACCGGCCCTCCAGGACCGAGTTTGGGCACCCCTGATTTATATATTTTTAATATTATAGACCAGGGGTTCTCAAACCTCTCCACGAAGTACCTCCAGCACTGCACATTTTGTATGTCTCATACAAGACATGACACACCCATTTCAGGTCTTGCAGTCTCCACGAATGAGCTGATGAGCTGAATCAGGTGTGATAGATGAGGGAGACATACAGAATATGCAGTGCTGGGGGTACTCCAGGACAGGTTTGAGAACCAGTGCCCTAGAAGCTGAGCTGCGCGCCACTTGAATGCGAGCTGAGGTAAGATGTAAGCAGCCAAACATGACAAGAAAATTCAGCAACATTAGCCAACTGTTTACGATAATAAAAGTCAACCGACAGAAATGTCTGTAAATTTCTATCCAGGCTTTCTTCTGTAATTTCACGTGTCTAAGAAAAAAAAAACGTAGGCCTAAAATATCATTCTCAAAATTACTCTTGAACATTGTAAATCTGAAGACTTTCACTTTCAAGTGTCATGATTAGGAAAGTGACATAGCCTATATAAGGCTATAATAAAAATATAATTTGCTATTTCACATGCATTATTTTATATACACTGGAGGTCAAATGTTTGAAATAATTAAGACTTTGTATTTATTTTTTGAAAGAAGGCTGAATTTATGTGATCAAAAATACAGTAAAAAATAATATGAAATATTACACTTAAAAATAGTGGTTTTCTGTTAAAGATATTTTAAAATGTAATTTATTTCTGTGATTAAAACAGAATTTTCAGCATCATTACTTCAGTCTTCAGTGTCACATAATTCTTCAGAAATTATTCTAATATGCTGTTTTGCTGCTTAACTATTATCCGTTATTATTTGTGATCAGTTATTACTAATGGTTCTTATTATTATCAATATGGAAAACTGTTTTTGTGTAATATTTTTGTGGAAACTGTGATACTTCAACTTTTTCAGGATTATTTGATGAATACAAAGTTAAAAAAAACAGCATTTATTTGAAATATAAATAATTTGTAATAAGTATAAATATATTTATTGTCACATTTAATGCAACCTTGTGAATATGCAGTGCTGGGGGTACTCCAGGACAGGTTTGAGAACCAGTGCCCTAGACTGAATGGTAATGTATCACATTTTCCATAAAAATATGAACCAACACAACTGTTTTCAACTTTGATAATAACCAGAAATGTTTCTTGAGCAGCAAATCAGAATGATTTCTAAAGGACCAATAGAAAGGCACCATAAAAACAGTCCACATTCTGCACTACATTCTTCTACAAGCACTAGCACTGCATTACAAGTCTTCTAGAGCAGAGCAGAGCATTGTGTATTGCATTTAACTTTGGTGATATTAAACTGTCTCTCTGATGATTTACAATTTGTCATATATAGACCAGGAAAGACAATAATATAAAGAAGTATGCCAGTCATTCATTAATGTTAATGATAATAATTTAAATTAAAAACAAAAAATAGATGGCATTTTATTTCTGTATTGTGTTATATTTTTTTGTTAGTAAGTGGTGTTAAAAATTGCTCTGTGCATAATGAGCTGGTGGGTTTATGTGGTGTGTTGCAGACCGGGTGTGGTGGGCCATTTTTTAGCCCCAGCCAGCCCCTGCTCTGATAAATTGCACTTTAATGTTGAATTTATTGTGGCAGAAAGTTATTTTAGGGGACGTTTATATTTCACAGAAAGGCTTTTGTTTTTCTCCTCAATGAATTCCAAATCATGTTTGTTTTTCTCCCTCGTCCGTTGTCACAAGCAAACCATAAGCGCGCCCTTTAGTTCAGGTGTCAGTGTCACATGTAAACAGATGCAGCAACTCGTGCATCAAACACATTTAGAGTAAATATGATAATTTTAGAAGTTTAAGGAAAGAGGTAATTGGTTTATTGTTTCACGGAATTGCAAACTATAATCAGAATCTAATAATTGCATATTTTTAAAAGCTTAATCAAATTGATTGAATTATAATAAATTACAATAAACAAGCAAATTAATAAACAATAAATAAAAAATATGCAAGTGCATTTTTTTTATTGGAACGTTTCTTGGCACATAAAATACCACGTTGTGTCAGGAGCCGGTTCATTCCAGCGAAGTGATTAAAAGAACCGAATAATGGGTAATGTGTCAGTCCAGTCTTGTAGCTTCACATTGAACGTTTCTATCCAAACACAAGAGGGCATTAGAGCATCATTCTCCACACTTCTCAAAACTCCGTTTTAGTTGGAAATCGATTTTCTTCTGCAGCATTAGGCTATAGCTGCTCATTATGATCAATAACGAATGTTTTGTCTCTGTAATCGCATAAACCCTGACATCAGCTTGCTCTGCATGCATATTCGTTCCTGTATGTGCTAATATTAAATGACAGCATTTTAAAGCAAGCCACAATATGGCAACTTTAATTACCTCTGCTCAAAGCACATCTTCTAATTGGCGTTGAATATTAAATTCCTCTTCCTGTTGTATATGCTGCACAAATAGTTTACACAAATCTGCAACTGACACCAAGCCAAAGAGGTGAGAAGTCATAAATATTGATGGGCCAGAACTGCTGTGCTGGTTTAATTATCCTTACTGATTAAAAGAAAAACCTGAAGCTTAAACCGATATTTCTATTGTCTATGTTATGGCCCTGTAAAATAAAATTGACTAGGAAAGTAAATGGAAAATATTTTAGCATTCTGTACTAGCATCATTAAAAGTGGAATAGAGACAGTGGGCAGTGCAGTGCCAGTTTTGTCTTAATGAATGGAGTGACTGTGTAGAAGAGGCTCATTAGCAGACTTCAGTCAGGGTCTTGTGCCCCAGGCCATAGTCTCTCATGTA